TTCATTTTTTCCTCATTATCTGCTTCTGTTTGGAAATAGTGAACAGTTCTTTATTCCATTTTACGTCTTGTCTGAGTAAGTTGGCCATATATCTTTGACTTTGGATTCCTTGGGTTTATGTTGTTATCTTTTATTTATCATTGTCTGCCTTCAATAAGTTTTACTACTTCTCCTAGAACATGCCAAGCATACTAATGTACTTCTGTTCTCCCAATCTAGCTTGTATATTATTGTTTGCAACTATATTCCTTGTACATAAACTTCTACACACTCCATAGCATATTGTACTCTTTTTTGTTTAAACAGACATTATATTAAAAATTTATTAGGAAAAATCATGTAAGGTTGCCATAGGTAGTATAATTTACCTTCTGAGCTAAAATTGTCCCTTTAATGTCTTTTTGAATTGTGAATGTACTAGGGAATACTTTATTGTTGGTTGTTTGAAAAAGTCTTTATTTTGCCTTTATCCTGAATAAAAAATTATGTTTATGCTTATTAGGGACAATTGGATTGTGATCTCTTATTTTCTTCAGATTTCTGTATTCTCATTACAATTAACTTATGAAGACAGTATAGCAGCATCTTCAAGTACTGGTAATATGGTCATACATGTTCACATAAATGAATTGCTTGAGTGGATTTTGTGTATGAAAGATATTGGTATCTTGTGCCTATAGATTACAAATTTTTATTGAATTTCATTTTCAGTTAAACTTCTTTTTCCTGTATCACTTCTCATTCTTTTGGAGTAGAAACTATGAATTCTATTTTATTAGGACACTTAAATTTGTCCTACAGTTCACTGATGCTCTGTTAAATTTTAACTCTACTCTTTCTCTGCATTGCACTTAGGATAGGTTATGTTATTATATATTGAAATTCAGTAATCTTTCTTTATGCAAATCCAATCTGGTATTAATCCAAGAGAGGGTAATTTTTTTACTCAAACACTGTTGTCTTCATTTCTGGAAGCTTTATTTGCATTCTCTAAAGTGTTAAGGTCTCTACTTAACTTGCTGAACACATGAAATGCAGGTGGACTTTACTATTTTAGCGTGTTTGTGTGCCGATTCCCGCAACTGTGCTAATTTGTGAGTTGTTTTCAATTGGTTGGTTCTTCTTTTTGTGTGGGTTTGTTTTGCTAGTCTTTACTTGCTAGCAGCTCACAAAAAAGGGGAGAGAGAAAATCAATTATCCATATGATATGTGATATATAATTTCCTTTTCCCATTGCAGAGGATTTAACCCAGGACTGCATTTGTTTGGTAAGCACTCTGCCACTGGGGGGGAAATATATGTATTGTATTCCCATAATTTTTTTAAAGCTTTGTTTTAAATAAGTTGTTAAATAACTTACAGTCTTTTATTTCAGGCTGTGCTTTCATGATGTGGCAGGCAGCGCTGGAGCAGTGCTGTGCATAGGCTGAATTATGCCCAGTGCTTCGGGAAGGCTCTTCTCTGCACCGGGCCTCGTGTCCTAGGAGTCACTTTACTATGGGACACAGGAATCATCTCTTTCTGTCTCTCTTATTGCCTAGAATCTTCTGGGACATTTTCAAAAACAATATTAGATGTGGTTTTATTTTTTTGGGCAAAAGCCTTAGAAAGATTTTTGAAATGAGGAAGCCTATTTATTTTTAATAAATTTTTATTAATGTTGTTGAGAAATAAATAGCAATGAGACAGTTTCAAAATTGATTAGTAGGACAGTTTCAATAATTAATACATTGCATATTGTTGTCTTCGTAGTGGTTATTCATAGTACGTGATGCAGACATGATATCCTATTTATACTATTAGTACAAATCTTTCTTCTCATTGAATTAAGAAAAAGTAGCTGTATATATATCCTAACTATATTGTGTGTACAGATACTAAATGGTCCTTCATTTGTATCCCCTTTTTTGTTTAGCTTTGCCAGAGATGGATATTCCATTGCCATTTAAATATTGTAGGTGCATGAGTTCAGCAAAATAATCCAATATAGTCCTGTAGTGCACAATAGTAGGGGGTTGTCTGTAGGACTGGCAATGTTGAAGTTGTTGACTTGAGCCTTTTACCACTCAGCATATTAATATGGCTTTACTTTTCATACCTCACTTTTATTCTTTTCTTCTGGATGGTTAAGACTAAGATAAAGCAAGACCTATATAACAAGAAATGCAACTTCTGTATTTGGTTGTCTAAATATGTACTACTTGTCATATCATTTACTGCTATACTGTCTTTCAAGTAAATGTTTGTTTAAAACAAAAGGGTAGTAAATGAAAACAAGAGACAAGAAAAAATGTCATAGGACTGTTCTGCTATGTTGTATATGGTTAGATTTCTAAATTTCTGTGTAAAATATGTAATTGTTTGTTTCTATTTTTTTTTCTTTCTTTTTCTTTATGTGCTATAGGGATTTAAAGTTTAACATAGCAATACCTGTTCCATACTATGTCTAAGATGTTTGATATTCAGACAGATAGTGAAGTTAAGCTCAACAGCCTATATTATAGGGTAATAGTATCATTAAGCTTCTCTTCTTGAGGGCTAACAACTTAAATTTGCAGACCAAAAATTAGAAAACAAGAAAGGCTGCAAGGACAGCCAACACTTTGGCCCTAGCCTTTCAAGGTCAGTGAGGACTCAGGACACAAAAGAACCTGTACTGTAACATCCTGTAACTCAGTGATGTCCCAGAATTTCTGATCAAGAGATTATGGGGCCACAGAGAAAAGTGATCGATGATGTAGAGTGTGCCTAAAGAGAGTCATATGGAGAGAAAACATTCTCTCAGGCTTTCACAGGGAACACATTTGCCAAGCAATGGTAGTGACTCATCCACATGGCTGACACTGACAAAGGATCTACAATCTGAGGTACAGGGTTCCAGAGTAAATCCTGAGGGGATCTGACTTTATCAAATATTTTTTATAATTTTATGTGATACTCAGATTAATATTTATAACTAGATTATACTTAAATTTTAGCAATTTCACAGGATTTATTACATTATATTCATTAAACTTTATATTGTATATGTTCATATCTCTGAATTTATGGAAAATAAAACCTTAGACATACAATATTCACTGTGTTTTCTGAAATTACAAAAGCAAACATAATATTCTCATGGGAGTTAAAAATGTATCACAAAGTTTCTTCTAACTTACAAAGCATTTTTATTGTTTGGGAGAAGGAACTATACATAATATGGAGTTAATATGTCAAAATTAGAGTGATGATAATGCAATTAGATGGCTAGTTCCAGTGAAAAGAAAAAACATTTTTTCATATATTTTGTTGAAATTTAATGTAAGCAGGCATTATGACCCTGATGAACCAATTTTACTGTCTTCATGGAAGTTTTGTGAGATGTGGAATACTGAATAAATTGCACATTTAATACATTAATGATAAAATTTTTGTCTTTTTTTTCTTTTCTTAATTTCTCTTAATTGTTTTTTACTTTCTTTTTTAAGTTTTTCATGCATATATCTCGTAACCTAACAACTGATTTGGAGACAACACTATGCAATACAACAAATACTGTCAAATTCATATTATTTTGTTTAGTGAAATTTTGTATCATGTGTAATTTTTTAATTATTATTTTGTATTTTCTTTAGCAGCTAATACATATCAGTGGTAATAATGTTGTGAACTTCCATTATATTATATAAAAGCAACAATAACACATTTGCTTGAGTACTCTATTATAAACACATAAACAGGACAATGGGATAATTTACCCATTTGTGTCTAATGGTGTACTTATTCTATTATGCAAAATTAAAAGTGAGGTACATCCAGGAATTTCAGGGCCTTTGTACATTCAGTGAAAGGAAGTGTTGCAGAAAAAAGGAAGAATTTGCTAAGTGTACCTACACTTACTTGGGGAAATAGATAAGGCATTTACTTATTATTTCTTAATAATGCAGAAGATGTATGATCTTTCTACTACATGCAGTTATTCTAAACACAGATATACAAATTCTCTTCCCTGCCAACTTAATAAAAGCCACATTGGTCAACATCCAAAGATAGTATATCTGAAATATTATTTTACTTTTATTGTTATATTATTAATATCAAAATTCCAAACTCCCTTTTATGAACTCAGATGGAAAATACTGTGATATACTGTCAACTTTCATGAATAAAAATACAATTCTCTTAATTTCTATTTTTATTGCCTTTAAGCAGTTTCACTTAAAAACTAACATGACTTGAATTAAAGAATCTCCTGAGTATCCGAAAGCATGCTCAGTGGAGTTCCAGGCGAGCTGGGAGGGGACTCGCTCTGGGGCTAGAGCAGTGCTGGGGAACTGAGGGTGAGCTGCGTCCTCCTGCATGGCTGACGCAGCTCGCTTTCCTAGTTTCATGATTATCAGCCCCGCAAATTCCCATTTCTTTCCAACATGTTTTCTTTTGCTACCATTCTGAGATTTTAGCAGTCTTTTCTTATTTTAGTTGGTTTCTAATTCTAACAGTTTTTCAAGATTATTGGACAAGATCTGATAATCTTGTACCTGACTAAGAATCACAGTGCTTTGTTAAGGACATGAAAAATCTCTTCAAGATGAAATGTTTCAGGTGTTTGTACTTCACTTTAATATGAGGCAAATGTTTCATACAATGTCAAGGCAAAAGCTGCCTGTGCACTTCACTCATATTCTTCCCCGGAGGTGGCCATGTTGGAATGAGTCCCCTGGCCCTTACAATTTGAATTCAAATTTCAGTATCCAACTAAATATCTCACACAATTTGAAGTAATTTTGTGAATCAGCCATGACTCATTCAAGTGGAGCACTTTTCCTTCCTACAGGCACCATGTCTGCTTCAGCCCTACACAAATAAATGAGATGGAGTAACACAGATCCCGTAGGTTCATTCCAAATGCCTGCATTTGGAGAATTTAGCTAGTCACAGACCTAGACCATTCTGATATTAACATGCAAAAGAAATAAAGTTTGCTATCTTACTCATTGTTCTCTTTTTCTCTTTCACAGACCACCACTTTGCAGCTATAATTTTGTACTTAAGGAATCAGAGGAATTGTTTCTGAAACCTGTCACATGTATAAAGAAGATTTAAATTTCGTCTAACAATAAAATTTTTTTTCTGAATCAAAGGATTTGTAAATGAGAATGATTTAACTGGTCTTTTGGAATGTATTGCTCTATCTACAATTCAGACATATTTTATTTCTTGAATCAAAAATATAGAAAATAAAATGCATATGTAAAATATTCAGAATGTTTTTGCTTTTTTATTGTTGGAAATTGAACTATGGACTTTCAAGCTAAGCTACAACTTCAGCCCACTTTTTATTTTTATTGTGAGGCAGGATTTGCTCAGGTGCATTTCTCAGGTAACACTCAAATTTATCATCCTGCGGCCTTACCATTAAGAGTTTTGAGATTATCAATGGATTCCACTAGGTGAGGCTATATTCTGATTTTATTCAAAAATCTCTTTAGTTTGGTTACCTTATATATGTCCTACAATATTTACCATAGACTAATTTCCTAGATTTTCATAAATGAATATATTAAAATATTTTTTACCTTTTTTCAGTCTTTATATATATATTTATAGTGCATGCTGTCCATGCATCACGATTATGGCCCCAGAATGTGCTGGCACCCCTACACTATGTGCATCCCCAGCACTAGCCCCACCTCCAGAGTGAGCTGAGCTGCCCCCCCCCAAAAAAATTACAGCCATAATACCTACTATTTATCAGGTTAGGCTCTAAATTCATTACTTATAGTGTGTGGTGGATTGGTAACTGGTGGTCAACTTGTTACACCCAGCTGAACTGACTCAATGTGGTGCTGGGTGTGGGAGGCCCACCTGAGGACTGTTGCCAGCAGCATGTGAGGCAGAACTAGGAGCTGTTAAGAGGCTGTTGGGAGCTGTTGAAAGCTGCTGGTTCCCTTAGTCAATTCTGCTGGAGAACCTTGTTATGCTGGCTTTTCTGATGAACTTGTCTGTTCTCATTAGAGGAAGAACTCAGGACCTCATTACTGAGAATAGCTACGGTTCATTTTGGAGGAGTTCTACTTTTCATCTTGCATATCACTTATCAGGCCCTGGAGGGGAAGATGGTATACTGCTCAGCCTCGTGGAGAGACTTGTCAAGTTGGCTTTCCTGAAGGGAGCGCAGCTTTCCTTATCCTTGGAGGAGCTTGGGCCTCACTGTTGCTAAAGATGGCTGTGGTCCTTTGCAGAGTAGCTCTAGGTCTTACCTTGAGGGTTGCTTCCTGGCTCCAGTGCAGATCCCTCCGCCTGCTAGCACAGATCCTTCATTCTGCTGGCCTAGACCCTCTAGCTACCACTGCAGATCTTCGGGCCTTCGTAGCACAGACCCATGAAACAATCCTGCATGAGACCTTGTCATGGGCTCTAGGCCTTCAGTTGGCCTTGTTGGAGGCTTTGTTACAGGCTCTAGGTTTTCAAGTAGACTCATGCAAGATATTAGGATCTATATCCTCAGCTAGATTCTTTGGTTTTTAGTGTATGGACAGCAATCCTACATTCTATGTATATGATTCTTTGGGTGATTCATTATAAAATGTGTCCTGTTTTGGATTGTTTCTTCTTACAGAACCCCACAGCACAAAACAGTTTCGCATATCCTTACAAGTTCATCCTTATCCTTATAAGATCCATGTTTTTAGCATCCTCGGTAACAGGAGGTGCAAGAAAACAAAAAGAATTATTGGGACCATTAACAATATTGATAATAGTTGCATTTTGATTTTTATGTGTACTGAGTAAATGCTAGCTATTATGAAGACTTTTGAATGACTAAATGGCTGAATGCATGATCAGGGAATCAAATTCTTGGCAAAGGGAACATGGGGTGATAGGATGGAGCTGCCTCTGAGAAAGTAATGTGGCTGCTGAGTGTCTTCCAGGTGACAGAGAACGTGCTGAGCATGCCCATCTTGGTGAGCTGACACACATGTACACGTGCATGCTGTTTCTCTGTCATGTACTTTTAGAGTCTTAGGCTGAAGACAATTTTAGAAATTACAAAACACCTAAGTGCTGCCCCAGGACAAGTTGAACCTGCTTCTCCAGATGGCAAGAACATCACTGGTGAATATTAGGGGCTGGCTTTGGAGTCAGGAAAGTGCAGGCCTTCAAAGCACAGGCAACATTTTCATCCATCATTCGTTCATCGTTTTCCCCTATGCACATGTGGTATTTGAAAAAAAGAAAAACTGAAAGGTAAACAGCTGGTTATGCAGATGGTGTTGATTAATTGAATGTGGATTTCTATAGCATGGCTTAAATTTCTGGACTGCTTGGCTCTTGGCTAAAGGTATAATTTTATTTCATAGGGACAGGGAATGATGTATTTGCAAGTAAACTACCAGCCATGATCAAAAGGCCTCAAATGGAACACTGTCTTTCACAAACTGTTCACAGATGCAAAACAATTGTTCGTTCACTGAGTTCAGTAGGACCCTTTAGGATACTGCTCCATCTCGGCAGCTTCTTCCATTCTTAGCTCAGATTTATCTCACACCTTTCCTGGCCATTCTTTGGCCCTTCCGTGTTGATCTGTTGTCTGTCTCTAGCACACTCCCTCCTTTGCCTTTTCCTCCTTCTCTGTTTACCAGAAATGTTTACTGAGGCATGAATGTTAGGAATCTCCCCTTACCTGTCTGCCTCTATCACTAGAACGTGAGCTTCTCAAGAGTGAGAAATTTTAGATAATTGTGTATGTTTTGAATTTTTAGCACCTTGATAAATCACTGGCTCCTTTCAGGGACTCCATAAATATTTGCTCAATGACAAATGCAAAAGTATATAAATGCAGGAAGTTTTGTTTTGGTTTTAATTTAGAGGGGAATAGTGGTAAGAATCAGTGGCTGTAGGCTATTTAGAAGAACAAAATGTTATATGTGGCCTGGTTAGAGATTAGAGAGCTCTCCCAGGACAGCAGATAAACTCCTATCTCCAAATGTAGTAAAACCAGATCACAGTATTAAATGATTTTCATTCGACAAATGTAGAATTTAATACATTTCAGACAATGTTGAATAGTCTCTTATATGTATAGCACTACAGCATTAACATTTAAACACATAGGCCAATGAAAATTTCCAATTCTTTTTTTAATAATTGTTTAGAAAATACTATTTGAAGACAAGCAAACAAAATCTCCTGCAGGCACAGATTCTGAAATCACTGGAACACTGTAAGTCGAAGTTGTTCTAATTTCAAAAACATTTTTGTGTTCTGATATTTGATTGATTGCATTGTGCTACCTTTTAAGACTTTGCAGGAGAAATGCTCAATGGGAAAATGTCTTTGTAAGAAGTTTTTACAATGAAGCTTTTTCAAAGTGAATGAAGAAAAGGGATTAGGGATATAGCTTATAGGTAATGTTTGTTCCAGCACTACAATAATTATTATGTAAATAAAGAAAATGAAGAATAAAGATTAAAATGTAGGCTTACTTTTCCTAGAGGTTTTACTCAAGACATTGTGTTTACCAGGCAGGCACTTATGCCACTGAGCTATTTACTTGGCCCTTAGTAGAGTATTCTATAAGTGAAAAGAGGAAAGGTAAAGGATAAGGAGGAGAGAATATTCGGATTTACTAACAATATACTATGACAAGTGCCAGTGAGATGGCTCAGCAGTCTAAGTGCCTGCTTAGGCAAGTGCAGGGACAATGTTTGAGCCCCTGCACCATATGCTGTGCTAGCCCATCCCTAGGCATGCTGAAGTGGCCACCCAGATGGGGTATGGTGGCACACACCTGCAATCCCAATGCTGGAGAGGCTGAAATAGGAGGATCATTATGAGTCCAAGCTGTATAGTGAGACCCTGTGCAAATTTTTAAATATATATATTAGATTCATGTAGATATATTTTAATATACCTACTATATTGTAATGATCAAAGTAATGTATTTTCAGTACCAAGTGATTTAAAACAATGCACCCAGCTCTGAAGAAACTTCTATTACCAAAGATAAAACAGTTTCACAAAATAATGAACCACTAAACATAAACACTGTGTTATTTTGCTTTATTTTCCCTCTACCTTCACCAAAAGAAAATGATTGACATGTATGGATTTGAATGTAGACATTTTTAATATAAAATAAAGAATAAGTGCTCAGAAACTATATTGGAGCTTTGATAAACTATACAACTAGAAGTGTTACAGTAACTCTTACTTCCCTTTCAGAAGAACAAGTCAAGGTAATAACCAGAGAGTATAAAAAAATCTATGCAATCTATGAAAACTAATCACAGTTTTTCAAACTCTAAGAGGCAAATTCAAAAGGCAGACACCAAACACTGAATCAGAAAGTATGGCTAGAGAATGGGGTGAAAAGACGTGATTGATATCCTCTATTCCCATACAGAGGAGCATGGTCATTTATCTACTGAGAAATAATTGCTTTCTGACAGAGATCATTCTCATTCTCCATTATCTTCTTCTTCCTTCTTATTATTTCACTTTGTAATAACCAGATATCTCCAAACCCAGAGAAATTATACCTGAGTAACAAAAAAGGGAAGTTTAAAAAATTTGCTTCTTGGGGTGGGTTATTTCACTAATAAGTGCCAATTTAGTTAAAACTGTAACTCCAACTCTTCCTCCTCCTCCTCTTCTTCTTCTGCCTCACCCTCTCCCTCCTACTCTCCCTCTTGCCCCTACTCTCTTTCTCCTCCTCCTCCTCTTCTTCTTCCTCTTCTTCTCCTCATGCTCCTTTTCTCTCCTCATCTTCCTCTTTCTCTTCTCTTCCTTCTTTTTAATAATTTTTTATTCATTTTAATGAGAAAAAATAGCAATGGAACAGTTTCAAAACAAATTAGTAGGATATTACAATAATTAATACATTGCATATTATTGTCTTCATGGGACAAGATGCAGGCATGATATATTATCTAAACAATATCAGTACAACATTTAGGTTTTTTTTTTTTTTTTCTTTCAGAACTGGGGATTGAATTCAGGCCCTTGAACTTGCCACGGAAGTGCGTATTCCACTGAGCCATCTCCCCAGGCCCATTACAAACATTTCTTCTTGTTGAACTAAGAGAAGGTAGCTGTATATC